AGTTCCATCATCCACATTAATTGTTTTATTATAATTTGTGACAAAAATATGAGCATTTGCTGCTACTGTCTGTTGTCATTAATATACGATAATTTATTCTCATGTACTTTGTATTTAGTTTATGAAATTCTGTACTTTAAATAAAACTAATATACCCAGAGTTATTAATTTCTCATTTTATCCGGCCCATTGAAAGTGCTGAATTATCTACTGTGGTCTGCGGTTCGAAAAGTTTGGAGACCTCAAATGTAGGCCGATTGTATGTTCATGCTAGATCAGCCATGCTGACACTTCGTTCTCGCTTTTAAATGATTTTACATTTCATTTCTACGGTTATTTTTATTCTCTTATGGCTGTCTTTTTGCGGCTTTTTCTTCGGGGACATTTTTGCAAGGGCTATTAAACTTTGCACAAAAAAAAAAAAATCACAAATAATATGTCCGAACACTAGTTTGGAAAAATGTGTGATCACAAGCGACACTAAGATGCTAGCAGAACGGGTGCTAAACACAGATTGATGTAGCAAGCGCACAATCCGGGAATTCCCTTCTCGTCACTCGTTAAGCGAGGTTCCACTATATTTCTAAGTAAAATAATAGTAAGATTATTCCCAGTAAAAGTAACGCAGTATATAAATTTAATTTCGTAATATGCATAAACAATGCATTTACACCAACCAAGAGTGCAAAATTATTCATTGCTATGGTGCGCTGAATCAGCCGGAATGATGCAAGTTTAATTGTAGTTCACGTTGTCACAACCTGTTTTTTTAGTCGCTTAGTGGGGGGTGGAGTCGAGCTGGGTCAACGCGGCACGGCGGCCACTGGTTGGCCTATTGTTGCCTGCCCTAGGTGATTATGATGTAGAATTTGGTGGAATGAAGATTGTCAGGTGAAACTGAAGTATTTGGAGAAAACCAGCCCCAATGCTTGAACTATAGCGCGGCCATCTTACCCACATACCTCCAACCAATAGCGAAAAAGGCGTCAGCTACCAAGAGCTGTGTCGCGATTGGTGTAGTTAAGCGAGGTTATTGAATCGCATTTGTGTGACCCAATCACAGTACACCTTTTGCAATATATATCGACATTTATGGTGGTTGGCGGCGTCGGCTGAAAAATAGTACTATTATCGCAAAGAGAAGTTGGTCTGTTTCGCTGTTGATTGTTAAGTATTGGATTTGACGTACCGAATCAAGAGCTGACGTTTACTCTTTAAGTTACATCACCATGTTATTGCTGTATATGGATGGTATGCTTACTAGTCCGAATTAAATTAGAAATATATATGAAGTGAAAAGTTCCTGTTAATGATATTTCTGTAGGTTATGCATCTTTTGATGTAGCTTTAAGAAGGTCTGTAGAATCTTGAAACACGCCATGTACTGTAATTGTGTTATAATTTTTGTAATGCTTCTGGCAGGAAAAATGGGGAAAAAAGAAATTTTGCCCTGTCCCTGGGTACTTGTCTTCCAGTAGGCAGACAGGTTTGAAACTCTTCAACTTTCCCAGGGATTCAGCACGGTAAGTCTGTTTTAATGAATGATGTAATGGCTTTATTATGTGTTGCTTAATCCAACGTAGCACCAGCACCATGTTATGAGGGTCATACTGAAAGTCACGAGCAACAGTTTTTTGTATGGTAACCTGCTTTATTATTGCGAAACCAAATACACCACCTCAATCTACAGACCTTTCTTTATATTTCCACATAATCGCCACTTTTTGTACACATTTCTCCCAGCGTTCTGGAAGTTTGAAAAGTCCCCTTCTGTAAAATTCCGTTCCAGCCATCTGAAGACACTGATGCACTGCTTTCTGAATTCAGCGTGCTTACGAAAGTGTGTGAATGGGTGCAAGCAGTGTTCGAGTGTTCGAAGATGGGCGAAGCATTTTAATGATTGGAACACCAGCATCAAAAACGAGCCTTGGAGTGGTCGTCCAGTGTGACTGGACATCAGTGACATCAGTCATACTGGATGGAATTAATTAACCTTTTACAAGATCTTACAAAATATTTGAAATCTGATATTCATCTTCCATTACAGCACTGGACAGGAATATTTGGCATAATTAATAACATATCTTAGGGAAATGCAATGATTATTGGAAATCTTATATTCATGCTCACCAGTTCAGTACTGGACAGAGTAATATGGAGAAAAATGAGAAGGAATACACCCATAATAATAAAACATATTAATAATACAACAAAAATAATAAAACAGGTAAATAAATTATCACAAGGAATACACCCACAATAATAATAAAACAGAATAATAACAAAAATATTAAAATAGTTTAATAAATTATTAGAAGGAATCCACCCATAATAATAAAATAGAATATACCAAAAAGAAAATAGGTAAATAAATTACACAAAAGTCCTACCCACACTGAATCCTGATATTGATCCTGCTTCTCAGTGTTCCCTGCTGAAGCGGATAACCAGTACTCTATACTGAGGACTGTTATCACTTAGTGGGCAACACAGTGCTTTCCAGGGTCAACAGGCATTCCACCATTTAAACTCTCAAAGAGTTTGTCAACCTCCTCAATAAATGCAGCTGTTGAAAGTATTCACTGCAGTACCCTCCTGAATGAAGAGAAGAAAAATGTGAAATTAGTGTGTTTCTTACATGGTGGATTACCAACATTCTTCGCATTGGGAAATAACACACATTACTTTAAAACACACTGCCTCTATAAAAATTTGTATACTTGTTACTTTATTCCTCATTGTAAAGTCTTTACCACCTCATTCTCTCATAACTCATATTACTGAAAGCATGTTCTGCTTTTCAAACATTTCTTAAATTATCCATGACCTGTATATTGACATACAGTTTTAAGCGGCCTCCATAGTCTAGGGGTAACCTTCCCACCTCATGACTCAAGGTACGCAGGTTCAAACCTGGCGGAGGTCGTGGAATTTTTAAGGGCGGAAAAATTCAGGGAATAAGTCCTCCGGGAGGGACTTTAAGCTATGGGTCCTGTGTCGTAGATTTACGGCACGTAAAAGATCCTCATGTCTCTAAGAGACCTCTGAGCAAAATTAGGCAAAATGTTTCCTGCCCAAGTAGTTTCCAATGCCTCCGGTAGATGGGGAAGTTATCGGGTACCAATGCCAGTAGGGGGCCAACCTTGTTGGCAGAAAGGGGAGATAGCAGGCACCAGTATCGGTAGGGTATGGAGACAGTAGAAATTAAAGGGGGATGTACAATACACTATTAGTTGCGGTGCATGGGGAAACCCACCCCCTCTATACTGAATAACTGACATACAGTTTCAGTAGTAATAAATGATGACAATGGCGTTTGTTTGATTACAACTGGGTTCTAGGGATAACTTTGAAAACTAGTCCTCATTATTAGCCACTGCATTCATAAAAGAAGCATAGAGTGCTTACCTGAAATGTTGTGTAATGAAGGATCAGGAGGTTGTGGCAGTGATTGTGCTGTAAATCTGAGCTACATGGAACTGCAAATCTGTTCAGCTGTAGTGAAATCACTTTCTCCTGCACAAAAATTTATAGTGCAGGATATCCCAACTCTTCCTGCCCATACCAGAGCCCTGTAAGAGTATTACATATTGTCTCAAAACTTTGAAATAATTCATCTATAAGTATTACAAACATGGTGCTGGTTCTATGTTGAGGGGTAAAGTTTAATACATTTAATACAGACACTACCTAAACTTAATTTTCGTTCATTCATTAAAACAGACTTACCGTGCTGAATCCCTGGGAAAGTTGAAGAGTTTCAAACCTGTCTGCCTACTGGAAGACAAGTACCCAGGGGCAGGGCAAAATTTCTTTTTTCCCCATTTATCCTGCCAGAAGCATTACAAAAATTATAACACAATTACAGTACATGGCGAGTTTCGAGATTCTACAGACCTTTTTAAAGCTACATCGAAAGATGCATAACCTACAAAAATATCTTAACAAGAATTTTTCATTTCATAAACAAATAATAAAGGGAATGCGCACAATGTGCATAGAGTAATTGTTTTATTTTTTTATTGTTGTAGTCAGTTATTGATGTGGTTAAGTTTTTGCATATGGTAATGTGGTATCTACTGCACTTTTTTTCATAGGGTTTACACACACGCGTCATTTGCTTCGTGAAAACGTTTGTTTTTGCATATCTTGTGGTGGAATCCGTGTGTTGCCAACCTAGTAATTGTGTGTCGTAATTTTCTGTTGGGTCCTGTCCAGGTTCTGTCAGTCATTGCATCAGTGCTGTAGAACTCTTCCCATATTTCCTCTCTTTTTTTTTTTTCTTTCTTTGATAACTTCCTCTGAGTTTTTTGTGCTTGGCAGTTGATATCTGAGTTCTTCTAATAGGAAATTTTCCTTGCAGAGTTCGTATG